TTTTTCATACACAAACCCAGCAGCGTATCAACTGGTGCTGTGTGCAGAACACAAATAGATTAGCTTTTAGTTTCTATACTTTTGTTTTCATAATTGCGCCCTGATAGGGCATTATTCTGTTCTTATAAACCTGATCGTCATACAAATCTGATATGCGTGTCAAAAAGGCAAAAGGAATCCTCGGATGTATCAGGCAAGATAGTCCCAGCAGGGACTACCTACCAATACAGAGGTACGTGGGATACAGAAGTAGGGGGATTATAGTACAAAGCACTGTTGAGGCCTCATCTGAAGTACTATGTACAATTCTGGACCCATATATTAAAAAACAAAGTAGGTATGGATAAAGAATAATAACATGATTTGTAAATGGAGACCCCCATTCTCTTGTAAGAGAAGCCTGGAGCTTGGCCAGTTCCATCTAGCACAAGAAAAGCTGTGTGTGGGCAGAACCACCCATCACAAAAGTTTCTGGACAGATGTATCTGAAAGAGAAAAGATCCATTTAGGCTAAAAACCAATATTGGTGTGCACAAAATAGGCATAAACTGATACTGGAGTTCTAGCTGGAAATTTCTAATCATGCATGAAGGTTCTGAATCAGCCTTCGAATATGAGTAACAGGGACGAGAAATGTCTTTTAATTTTGGAAAAAAAACAAGCATAGTTAAATCACAAGAAACTAGATAACTCTGTCCTCTTTGGTACTGAATCAAAAATAATAGGCTTCTTAATGTTGGGTAGTATATTATTTCTAAGAAATACCAGACATTCCTGTGTGTTTATTCCCATCTGAGAGGGAAGCGGAGAACAAGAGCTAGTTACTAGTACTTTAAATTCAGTGTCCTACTGTTTTCTGTTGTGGCCATTTGGAATGAGAAAGGTTAGGCAGAGAAGCATAACCCAGTCTACATCCGGCCCACACCTACTTAAGAATTTTGATACTTCTCCTATCTGGCCATGTGATTATTTTACGTGGCCAAAACAGAATTATTCTTTTTCCAGAGTACTCTGCACCTGCATCAACTTCAACTACCTGATTGTGTTCATCACAATTTAGTTACTGCCAATTAACGAAGCTGTGAGTGAGGATTGCATTTTACCACATACCAAAGTACTTTTCAGCGACTGTGTGAAAAAAATGTATACAGCAAACAGAAAATGAAACTGTGATGCGTATCTGGTTTAAGAGCTGAAGGTTTCCTTTCCTCTGGGAGCCATTCAATATCACAGATAGATTTGAAATATAACGTCTGTAACAGCGTGCTCTGATAACGAAGCTTCAGTTTGAGACTGGAAAAGATCATAGCTGCAAACGTTGCATCTGAAAGACTAAGCTGTTACTTCTTTGCTGTGTGCAGATAACAGTGTCCATGGACCCAACTTTGTATGCTTATCTAACAATCACTGATGAGCAAAAAAAAAAAACCAAAAACTTGCAAGATGTAAATTACAAAGGACAAGCAAATATTTAAAATTAGAGAGGGAGTCATCATCCTTTCTACACTTTTCTATTAGTTCCCATAGCTTGGTAGCATCACTCCCAAAGAGATTTTGCCTCAGCCTTTTTGTTCTCATCCATGCTCTGGTCTGTCTAAGGCACCAAGCTAAGAATTCCTGGCTCAGAAGAGTATCAGAGTACGTGACAAACAGATCACATGTGTTCATCTCAACCACTAAATAACATGTGCATTAGAATTACTGCCTGTGGAGAATAACCAGTGCACTTCTAGCAGTTTCCCCTTAGGCCACCAACTCTGCTTTTAGACTATGAGTGGTCTGACCACGCCAACTACCAACACCATATCAGTGGCTATATATTAATTCAAATAGGCGATCTGCAGTATAACTCATCTGTTGTGATAATTCACACCATTTCTTGTCTCAGTGACACCTAAAAACCTAAAACAAGTGCTACATGCATGTTTTTATAATGCAAGATCTTACACAGCAAATACCATAAGGAAAATGTTTAAAATGTTATCTGAAACAGTTTGTGCTTTTTTGAACTTGAAGATAAATGCTATCAAGCTGTTTCCCCACACATGCAAATAACAACAAGGTTAAAATAATACTAGGTCTGTCTTAATTGCAAAACAATCCTCCAAAATGAAGGCTGATGAAGTGATTAATCTGTTGATTTAAAGCACTGAAATTTACACAGCACATTGAGATAATCTCTGGCATAAATGGAAATCACTAGAAAGGAAGGCCACGGATAAAATATGATACTACAGGTGATGGCAGTTAACTCTTTGAATTCAAAAGCTGTGTGAAAATTAGCCTTCAAAAATTCTAAGGCCTTGTCTTCACACAGATCACAGCTATGCTTTGCAACAAATTCTTTAACCGGCTGACCTTTGCAAAATTACACAGAGGCTCGTCTTCGCAAATGGATTATATCCATCTTGCTTGCCTTTCTTCAGTGGAGGTTTCAGGAGTCACAGCAATAAAATCAGGAGAACCACCAGGTTTTCATACTATTAAAAGTCATTTGTGAGACATCTCAAGACTGGGAGTATAAAATTTCAACACAAAATTAGTGAACATGTCTAAAAATGAAGACGGATGTACTAGAATATTCTTATTTCTCCTTTCCTCTTTCAGACTGTTAAAATTAGCCAAGGCAGATCTGTTCCTAGTGCTTACATTTAGTAATGGAAAGATAGCAGAGATCTTTCTTACTCCAAAAGCTTAAATTGTAAGATGCAGCTCTTATGGGATGGCAATCACATACTTGTGTACATGAGAACTCTTCTCAGCTACTATAGAGAGGAATTTTTTGTTACTCCTTAAAAATACAATAGTGTGTCTCCTTATTATGTATTAAGCATTAATTTATTTTTAACAGAATTTCCCTAGATGCTTTGGTGCTAGCTAGCAGCCTACTCACTTAACTTCCCACTTTAACAGGATACCCTCCTCAGGGCCCTGGTCACACCAACACAATTAGACCAGGTCAAATTGCTTTCACCAGCCTCCTCCATAATCCATCATCCTCTGTAATCCTCTTCTACAATCCCTTCCACCTCTCTCCTCAATCTTTAGCTGTCAGCATCCAAGATGAGCAGTAATATGCCACAACTGTATAGCTTCTGTGAAAACAGGTAAGTGGTGAGAAAGTTCTCACCTGTGGCCTCTGCTGCTTCTGCCCCCCTGGGCCAAGGAGCTGGGCATGGGTTTAGTCCTTGCCCAAAAGCTCTGGTGGGTTGGCTGCATCCACCCTTACAGACCATGGCCTCGCCTTGCTGCCTCGTCTTCATTTTCAACCTGCCTCATTACTATAGACCTGACTGATAATTACTGGGCTGTTAACCGAACTCTGTTACCATCACTAGACCCGCTCAGCTCTTTTTTGTTGGGGCGATGTGGGACAGCACCCTGGTGGGTGAGGTCATTGCCCCTGCCTGCCTGATGTCACATTTAGCTCCTGGCTTGCCTAATTAAGGTCTGTGTTTAACTTTCATGCATTGGAAGAGGCTCAGTCATTTTATAGAATTATTATGCGTAATTAAGCAATGTATTTAGCATATATTTCTCAAGTTGTGCTGTTCATAATAATCTTTGCTACTACAATCAAAACAGTCCCTCCCTTAGCTGCTATCAAGACAGTCCAAGGTAATGATCATAATTCTCCTGTACATAAAAGCAGAGAAAGGCAGAACGACTGATGAATGAGAGTTTTTGTACTTTAAAGGCAGTTAGAAGACACTGTCCTCATATTTCAAAAAGCCCTATAAATTTCTGTTAACAGGGTCAAATGCAGCATTGAACACAATTCTGTCAGGAATGAATTAAGATAGTATTCATAGAAGAAGCACAGATGACAGGATTCTACTTTAGTTAGATAGGTTTTACTCTAGAAGTTTTTACTTAAGAAGTAATGTGGTAAGCAGTGAATATAAAGAGTTTATTTCAATGGTTAGTAATTAAGAGAGTGAACTGGATTAATTCCAGTTACATAACAACAGGTCAGACCCAAGACCATCCATCTTTGCTCCTTTCCACTGTACACAATTCAGTTATATGAATCCACAGCTATATATAAATTCAGATTTATTTTTTTTTAAGTGTGCTTTGTGGGGCTTCGGCTATCCTGCAGGTCTTAAACTATGCTTTCTCTGTGAATGGATGCTTCCTTCTGACCTCGTGCAGAACTCAGGAATGCATTCAGGAATCATGATAGGACTGAAAAAAAGATTTGCTTTGTTAGAAGTAGTCATCCTGATTGCGCCAATAATCCATCAGCCAAGGATAAAGAGACTCTTTTCTACTTTAGACGTCTATGTGGCTTCTTATACTGTGTAAGATTTTATCACCAAAGCTCCTTGGTGCAGAGCCTCTGATCCTGTAGCAGCAGCACCGTTCTCTTGCCATACCACACAATGCACGTTCTCAGTAGAAAACACAAAATAAATTTGGGACTTCTATTTGGGGCTCCCTGCCCACCCCCTTTCCCTGAGAGCTCTGCACACAAAGACGACAGTTTCTTCTCTTTGTTCACCTTTTTCCTCATCACTGTGCACTTGGAGGGAGAGTTTTTCTAATCGTTTCTGAAGTGCTTCATCTCACAGCAATCACCATTCCCCCGACTTTGCCCACATGATCTGCCATGACCACTTCGCTAAACTGAGCTTGACTGACATTTTCTGCAGCTGTAGCACATACTTTTCACAACAAATTGAATGGTGATGGAAAGTGAATTATAAGGATATTTCTTTTGGTTTATAGTTTCAGCTTCTAACTTTACCAGCCTGAGTTAGCAACCTAGGTTTTCTGCTTCTTATGTACTTAGGGAGGAAACAGAATTCAGATCATGAGCCCCTCCTGTCTCCTTTGGCTTGGTATGAAAGTTAAACTCTTAATAAACTATGTGAACCCCTCTGCATCAGATGTTTTGATAGCAAATGAGTATCACTGTGTAGCCACAAGCCTGCATTCCACTTTTGTAAGAAGCTGAATGTAAGGCATTACATGCTGCTAAAAACAAAACTCAGTGGTTTGCTTCATTAATGTGTTTTTATTGTTTACACATTAAAAAATGTAATGTTTAATAACTCACACCATCCTGCCTATTCCAAATGGAACACAAGAAGCAAAAGCATCACATGGCTATTAAGAACTGCATTAACTGCAGTTTTATAATACAAAGATTTATTGTTTTGATTGTAATCCAATTTAATCTCTTTAATGCACCAGGAAATAACTTGCATATCTTGCGAAGGATCTTGAAGACTACTCTATAGATAGTTTATGCAGAGTTACTATACTTAAAATAGTCTCCTCTGAGACACAGACCGGCTTGCTGAGCAGCATGTATGTACTCTTGCTGCCTGTGCCATACCTGTTGACGAGACAAACTACAAGGACCATAAGCATTAACCTACCTCAGAATTTCAGGATCATCGTCTTTAATCCTGACAGTAATTTCAATATATAAATACACACATTCATTAATATTTCCATGTTTTGGGATGGGACCTGAATAAATTATCTATTTGCTACATTTATACAGGAAAAAGGAAGAGGAAATACCAACCATGTTAAGCAGAATTAAAAAACTCCAGCTAATACAACCATTTTAATAACTGTGTAAGTCTAATACATATTACAATCACTGTTAAATAGTTAATTTCTTTGTCTCAACTGTTAAAATGATGAAGGCAGAAATGTTGAAAGTGTCACTGAAGGACTAATTATCTTCTAACAATATAAATAATGCTGCTGACAATTACATTTAATTAAATTATTAACTAGAGCTTTGTAAGCATGAAGCACTCTGAATAGCTATTATTATTGTATATTGCTTGTAACAAAATATCTTTGCTAGAGCATGTGTACACAGGATTCTTCTGCAATCTCTATGAACTGATATCCCAGTTATGCCATTGCCACTCATTGCTCATAAAACGCTCAAAGTCGCATGTAATGTTATTTCCTTCACAGAGCTGTAACAAAGATAAACAATATCCAATTACTAGCTGAGAACATGACATCAGATCCAGTTGTTTGATTCCGCCAGTACGTAATTGCATACATTCCTGTGTTAGTGAATATTTATTTTATCCAATTTAAGTCTCTGTGGAAATTGAGATCTTCCTACAGCAATAATAGCATGAAGATGAATATTTTGATAGCTCTCTGTTCTTACGAACTGCTTGGTATGGACCAAATCATAAACTGCTGAAGTCAACAGAAGATTGACTTGAGTAGACTGTTGGGTAGATGTGAAAAAATGTGACATTCAAAAGAATATGAAGTGTTGGGATCTCATTTCCAATGAAAATACCTTCATTTGATATCCAGGAAATAAATGTATATAATTCAGAAATATAATTTTAGGACTAAGACATATTGGGCCTTATTTTTACCCTCTTAACGTAAGCCTCAACAATTCTTGGCTTCTGTTTTTCCTTAAAGGTCAAACAGGTTTTACTCAACTCATTAAATCTGCATGGAAATAATACTTTAGAGTATCATTGGAATTAAGGAGTTTTCATTGGATAAGATTTTTTCCATATATACTATAAGATATTAGCACAATTATCTGGATCTGTCTATCAGTTGTGTCACCAGTACAGTATTTGAATTTCCTGACAATGTTTAACTTCAAAAACTAATTCCAAGATACTATCTCCAAGTAAGTTCTGTATTCCATTCCGATGTAATATAAAAGAATAGACTGTATTATCCTTATCACCAATGTCTGCTCAACTTAGCTCCACTAGTCTGGGAATGACTTTGAATAGATTCAGGAAAAAAGTCAACCACCCGTGTGTACCATTACTCATTTCACGTACTTTAATTCCATCAGCGAAATCATTTGGTATGATCATTTGATTTTTACCTAACAGTTACAGCATCAAGATTAAAAAACATTACTCCAGGCTCACCCTCCCCGAGTTCTGTGCGTTTGACAAGAGAGGGGTGGAGGGAGTTGCCCCAGCAGTGGGGCGACAATCATGGAGGGCTGCAGCCTGCCTACAGTCACTCTCCTGCTTCCTTTAGTGCACACCTTGGCAAGGCCATAGGCCTTTTCTTTTTTGTTCTTCACTGGTCAGCAAAAAATGCAGTCTCAGTGACAGGACTACAGATTCTAAATACTCCAGATGATTTACGATTACAGGCAATTAAAAAATGGCTATCTTTGATAACTTGCTCAGTAACTCACGTTACCATTAGTCACATATACATATTTTGAGTTTTAATTTGTCCTGCTGAGACTTCCATCCATTCCTTATTATGCCTGCTATGTTAGAGAACCTTATAGTAGCAGGAATTTGTTCATGTAGATAGTAATAGACGTTAATACTGCTCTTAATCTTCTGTTTGAAACAGGCTAACTAGTGAGCTCCTCCAGGTTAAGTTTGAAACCTCAGTAACAAAGCCTTGTTCCCCCCAGGAGTTCATAATAAAACCCACCTCTTCCTTTCAGGGAGAGAGTTTCACCTTACTGATTTTATTGAGACAGGATTTCACTCCGTATCTTTTAATCTAATGAGAGGGATTAGGGGTTGCAATGCCACATCAAATACATACAGGCAATAATAAATAGAAGTGATCAGGATTTTGCCCATCTAAATCCTTGTGATGAGCACTCAGCATAGCACTCACAGAATGGAAGTAAGGTTTGTTCTTTTTTTCCGGGATGTGGGGATGCTTTATTAAGACCATATATATATATATGTATCACATCACTCTGGAAATAGAACCCCTCTGAGCATTATCAAAAATATTTTTGGATTGGTGTCCTGTAGATTGCTTTGAAACATGTAGTTTTACAAAGAAATACTGGGATTTTTCAGGCAACCAAAAACTGGCACTGCAGAGTTTTCTTTGTTGGTAACAGTTGACAAAGACTCCTGTTTCAAAGACTACTTACCACAGTAACTGCAATAGAAATGGAGCCAGTACCTTCTGTGAATGCTAGTAAGCAAAAGCACATATAAAGTCTCTTTAGTGTGCTTCAACAAACTAAAAAACAAAAAAAACATTTTAATTCACTTTTGTTCAAATCAGCTCAATGCAATATAATCAAAAAGCACCTTTCCCCATGGTGCAGACACAGCCCAGCATATCTCAGGTCATGCTGTAACCTGAGGAAAACCCAGACCACCACCTTCTAATCTATATCTTGAAGAAGGCTAGTAAACTAATATAATTGAAACCTACCCTGAAGTGATGGGTCAGCAGATTGAAGTTATGGGGGAAAAAAATCTTTTATTTGGAGTATTAATTTCTAAACTAAGAGTTCTACACACATGTCTATCACAAAGGAAGTATCTTTGTTGAAAATACAAGCATACAGTGAGCTAGTAGTTAATCAGAAAACAAAACACAAAACAAAATCCTATCATAGTTACAATTGGAAAAGGAGGGCTACATGGATCTTTACATTCAGATTGTAAAACCTCCCAGTGTCCCCACACAAAACTCTCCTATTTTTATGACACTCATTGTTCCACACAAGTTGTCTTTAATACTGTAATTAGAAATATTCTTGTATAGTTGTGTTACATTGACATTTAATACATGGCAATACTTGCTCAGATAAGATAATGCTGTTCTTTAAGCATATCATACTTGTTATCTTACTGAAACACAACTTCTATTGTTACAACCTGCTAAAACATCGCTTCTAAGCGGAAGGGAAAAAACTCAGCAAGAAACAAAGTGGATACTAAAGTGCAAAGTTAGGTGTCACATGTAGTTTTTTTCCTTATGATGAAAATACACTTCATTTCTGTGGACTTTTAGTATGCTTATTACTGAGAAAGTACATACTGTAGCTTCGGTTTCAAGTATATGCATTACATTGAGCATAATTTGCCCAAACCAGAGGGAAATATAATGCTATTTTAGATGCCTCGAACAGTTTGTATATTCTAGGGCTTTGCCTCAATTTCCAGCAGAGTCCCTTCTAACTTTCACTTCCCTAAGTCCCTGCTGGCCCTAGAGAACTGGAATACTATTGGCAAGAAATGTGCTAAGTAACATGCTAATTTATGGAAAGACAGGTCTCATTCTGACAGTATCAAATGTCCTCAGTCCTAAAACAGATCCAATACTCCAAGCAGGTTTCTTAATGCATTAAATAATATCTATTTGATTTTTCTAAGTATCTAAGAAACAGATTTTAACTGGTTCTCCAAAACAGGTGTTTTTCTTGTTTCCAGTCCTTTCACTACTAAAATCTTCCATTAAAAAGCTGGATCCTTAGACAGATTTTTTTTTTTTTTTTTGAGAAATATGCATTGCATTAATCCCCGTATTTCATAATCCCAGACAGAGGGAGATGTTCACTATGCAACACTGGTAAAGCTTCCCTGGAACTTTATTTCCTGTTTGAGATACTACACTTTATGAAAAAATATAGCCTGTTCAGTGAGTCATCGGGGGAAATGAGAAAGTATGCTCAGAGGCATGAAAAGAGACCTATGAAGAAAGAATGAAAATACTAAAGTTACTCATTTCAAACAAGCAAATTTTTAAAAAGTTAGATTCTAAATGCATAAAAAAAAATCCATAAAAAACTTCACATGAATAAAGGGAACAATTCTTCCTTCTCTCTCATGAATTAAGAGATGGGAGTCCACAAGTGAAATCAGAGTAGGTTGTTAACCTGTGAATTCTATTGGCCCAACAAAAACAGATTACCTAAAAGAATATGTACCATTATTATCAGTCTAATCCAGTAAGAGTCTTCTAATATTACTACGGGATAATCTGTTCTCTAGGTTCAGTGGGTAAAACAGGAACAGATTTGGATTTCATCACACACCATATCCCCACACCACCCCCAATTTTAAATTTAGAAAAATATCATTTAAAAGTTTAAGAATAGGAAGGATTGAGGTGGATTGTCTGGGAGGATCAGAGAGGTCTTTAAGTGTCAGGAGTTTACAAGTGCAGGTTTACAAGAAGGGGGGGGGAGAGATTACCATGTTGGATGTTCTCTTAAATGTTTCCCTTTCAGCAAGCATCTGATACAATAATGCTTGAATTGTTGAAAGATTCTCCCAAAGTGAAGCTATTGCATGGAAAAAGGCAGTGCATTTAGCCAGCTGTTCACTGCATTAACTGACCATTAGTCAGGCAAATTGTCCAATCTTTGGTGAACAATAAAGAGCTCCAGAGTTTTGTTTGCTGTGTTCAGTGACTAAAGAAGGGTTTAGGAAGACCCTGTCAGAGGCACCTACCCATCTCTAAAGAGATAGAGCTAAACTACATTTGTGTTATTTTGCTTATAATGTAGAAGACAGTTTAAATCTTTTGTTCAATGGTCTAGAAATTTCCAGGTTATTGACATTTTTTTTTCAAGGAGTCATAAGCTGAAAAAAAATTTCTACATATCACAAGACATGCTGTAAAATCACAGTAACCACATAGTGCTTCCTAACAATTATTGCATTGTAGTTTAGCTAGCAAAAGAAGCAAAGAAATAGGCATTTGATCAGGAAAAAAAGAACATATGATAAAGTTTACTTTTAAAGTGTTTTTACCTTTTCGTAGCCAGGAACTTGGTTCACACTCCCTACATCTCGGGCTATAAAGCAGTACACCACCAATTAATGAAAGCCAAACAATGCTGTATCTAACATGGGCAAAACGGAATGTCTTTTTGTAGTTCCACCATCTGCTGGTTGTTTTCTACTCTAGTAGGGAATTTAAGACATAGGAACAGCTCATCTTTAGGATGAAAACAGTGCTGAGGATTTAACAACCACAATGTATGCAATTCAGGGGGGTCAATTTCATACTACCTTCAATTTCCTGCCACAGCCCAAATACCCTTAAACAGCTAGAATGTATTTGGTGTATTGCTAGCTTACGCTTTTCAGTTCATCCTTATCCAAATGAAATAATCCGTTCATATGCTCTGTAACTGCTCAATTAAATGAGCCAAAACATTTAAGTAGGCGAGATCAGGAGATCCCATTCAAACAAGATATTTCTAGTCTAAACTAAAACCCTATCATTAATAGTAATGCTTTCTGGTTTTGATTCCCCTTCCTGGGTCTTTGCTCTTTACTGCTATTCTGCCCTGGGAGCAGTCTCAGTCCAGTGCTCCACTCAAACAGGGATGGATAAGGAAGAAACATGCATCTAGCGTGTTTATAATCTACTCGGATATGATGCTTACTAGCAGCAGTATGAATTTTTCCAAAGATAACTTCAAAACAAGCTAAAGAGAGAAGTGTTAGTGATGTTAAATGAAGATAATTGAAGGACACATAGCCAAATACCTTCTATACATTAATGTGCAATGCCACACACAGCTGTATTCCATTTGAATGGTTTGCCTCTGCAGTATCACATTCCAGCCCATAACATGATTTAGTCTTTTTTGTAAGATTAGATAGGGAAAATCTACTACCTGCCTCAACATCTGGGGATTGCTTAATCAAAACACACGGAGATCTTTTACATTCCGATTCACGGCCATGCCATCGGGACAACCCACGCCTCACAGACCTGGCGCCTCCAGGTTCCCTGCTCCATCCTCCCACCTGCAGGCACGCACCTGAGTCACTCCGGCCCCAAACTTCCACAGCACTCTTTCCGAAACAAGAACTTTTCAGGCATCAAAAAGTCAAAACCCGGCTACAATGAACCATCTCAAATCCTATTTCTGATAACTAAATTCCATTTAATCTATTCATAATCCCTCAAATACTGCAACTGTTTGTCTTCGATTAAGGAAAAAAAAAACAACCATAACAAAACCAAAACCAAACCCATGGGGTTTGGTTTAAATCCTTTAAAAGGGCTCTCCCACCGAGTGCCTGAAGATGCACAAGCGTCCCACACCCCGCCTTGAACCGACCCGGCCCTTCAAGCCCGAGGCCGCATCAGCTTCGTCCCAGGGGAGCGCTGGCGGCAGAGACGGCCCCAGCCGCTGGTCGGGCTCCTCGCCCTGAAGGACGGGGCCTCCGTGGCGCCCAAGGAGGCTGAACAGCCCAAGCCGAGGGCTGGGAGCGCTTAGCGTGACACCGCAGCCGCGAAGCTGGAGAGGGGAGCGAGAGGCGGCGCGGCTCCGGCCCGGCTGCGAGGCGGTCTCGGGCCGCCGGCCGCAGGCCCGGGCATCGATAATTCGGCGCTCAAGCGCCCTGACTTTCCTGGGAAGCGGCGCCGCGGCTGTAGCGCAGAACCCATCGAGGAGTCGGCATTCGACTCCCCGCAGGGTCTCCGTGCCCGCGGCGCCATCTTGGCGGAGGAGGCGGGGCGCTACCGGCCGGGGCGAGCGGCGCGGCGGGGCCCGGCGGGAGGGGGAGGGAGCGGGAGCGGGTGACAGCCCGCTCCCGTCCCCACTCCTCCACGCACGCTCCATCGACGGCTTCGCCGTGGTGACCCGGTAAGTAACGCATGCGCCTTAACAGCCGCTCCCTCCCTCCCTCCCTCCTTCGCCGCCGGGCTGCGTCACGGCGGGCGAGCAGCGGCGGCGGGTAAGGGGACGGCGGCAGCCGCAGACCGTTGCTTGGTGCCGCGCATGCGCGCCCGCTCCCCCGCCGCCCGCGCCGCGCCGCTCTATGGGACGTGCGCTGTTGTTTTCTCCCGGTAGCCGGGGGGAGGCGGAGGAGGAAGAAGAAGAAGAAGAAGATGCCGGGGAAGCTGAAGGTCAAAATCGTGGCAGGGCGCCATTTGCCGGTGATGGACCGCGCCAGCGACCTGACCGACGCCTTTGTGGAGGTTTGCGGGAAGGGAGGGGCGCGGGAGGGAGGAGGAAGAAGAAGAGGAGGAGGAGGAGGAGGGAGGGCGGCCGGCCGGCCGGCCCCGGCGGGTGTCGCCTCGGGGCCGCGCACCTGCCACCGGGCCCGCCCGGCTGAGGCACCTGCAGCGGCGGGTGCCCCTTCCGCGGTCACAGGTGCCGCCGCAGTCACGCGTGGTGCCGGGGAGCGCTGCGTGGGACGCTGCCGGCCGCGGCTCCCCTCGGCAGCCCCGCCGTGGGGCGCGTTTCGCGCCGCCCGGCTCGGGCGGGAGCCGCTGGCTTGGCCGCAGCCTTCGGCGCGGGGGGTGGGCCGGCCCCGGGGGGCCAGGGTGCCCGCCGAGGGGTGCGGGAATGGGAAGGAGCACCCCGAGCCCGTGTCCGCGGGGGGTGTTTCTAAAGCAGTTTCTGGTTTACCCTTGTTTTTTAGCTGACAGCGTTTTAGGAACATTCTGCTCTTTTTCAGCTTCTCTTGGCTGAAGTTTGTTAATGAATGGCTCTTGTGGGTCTGGCAGCCAAATGGGATCCGTTTCGGGATTCGATAGACGTGTTGTAAGGAGGATGGAGAAGCAGTAAGAGCATGTTGAAGTGCAGCGGTGTTATACAGGCTTCGCTTTTAAGGCCAATATTCATATTTCTGTTGAAAATATTTGGAATAATGAAATATTTTCAAAGAGGATTTTTATCGTACAAATATTGTTTATGCGTTTAAATGACTTCATTGCACCAAAAGTATCTTACCCCAACCTTCTTTACAACCATATGCTTTACGAGCAATATATAGGTTGTTTCTCAGGAAGGGATTGTAAAGTAGGTTGACGTGATCCTTCTGTCTTATGATTCATTTTTTCCAGTAGAAATAACTTAGAACTTACTTCAGTGACATTCCCTAGATTCAGAAATCATACTCTCAGAAAAAGCGAAGAGGGGTTTAAAAACAGAATGCTATGCAAATGCATCCTTGTACTACACATGGTAATTGAGGTTGGCACAGTAATGGAATTAAGGTGAGAAGACAGAATGTCTTTCTAGAAGAGTCTGGTAATACCAAAACAGATTTTGTGTACGTAAGTCCTGATTTGGTTTAGTCCTTGAAAATTTGATTGATGTTAGACACTAAGCACATTAGTGGGACAGTAAATTGGTAATAAAGTGAAAATTTATTTCTCGTGTGCTTTTCAGTGGAGCTGAAATAGTACACTGTTCTATTTTATTACATGAATGGCAGTCATTTAACTTAATACTTCAGTGCTTGGTTTCAGATGTTTCATCAGTCAGTTTTTCATTTATAAACATTTCTCTTGTCAATTTAAATTTGATTAATAGGCAGCCAACAGCAACTTCGTGTGTGCTACTAGGAGACAGGGAAAACAGGAATAGGAAATACAGTACTCGGAGTTTTGCTTGGTGTGCTTCTATGCTGCCTCAAGGAGAAACAGCTCTCAGCTTTTGGTCACTTGTTCACAACCCTGCTCCATCTGCACCAACCTTGCAGTTTGAGTAGCCGTGTAGCAACATAGGTTTGAAAATTCATCTGGTTAAACGCTAGCTTAGCAAAAAAATAAAAATAAATTTATTTCATAAAGATCCATTTGCTTACCTAGGGTTAATGTGCAGTTTCATGAATGCCTTGGCACAAATAAGACTAAAGAAATATGTAGATGTGGCCTCGGTTTTAGGTCTGCTACTTAGGACTGTAGGAACTACCCTTTCCACATGTGGAGTAGGCAAGGCAGCAGGTGAGATTTATGTCCAAATGGAGCTTGAAACTTTTATTTTTCAGTGTAAGGTTGCTGAAAACCTTTACAAAACATTTTCACTTAAATAAAAATGAAAAGCTGAAGTAAAGTACTAGTTGATTGCTAGCCTTTATTTTCCATGTTAATTTTTTTGAATATAAATCTAGAATTAGAAAAGAAAATGAGAGAAGACTTTAGAGCTCTTACTTGGCTCATCTTATGCATAACTTGGTCTTCACCAGCATGTGTGATCTGGAGCAAATTAGCACGATTTCTTCTGTAATTGTGCTTCTAAATTTGTACAGTGGACAGCAGTGTAGTGCTCAATTATCTCTACTAGCTTTAATGAACCAGCTTGACTACTGGAAAAGTTCAGTTATAGCTGCCTGGGGCTCCAAGGGAACTAATTTACACCCTAGATAACATGTAAATATAGATTGGGTGGAGCTCTGGGCTCTTTTGTTGTGGCATCTTCTGGTATATAAGGTAGCTCAGTTAAAACAAGTGTTCCTGTCGCTTTATTGCTTTGTGTGATGAATACACATCCTAAGTGGCAGTGCTGTTAGTTTTCTGTATGCATACAGGCTGTATCCACCTTTTGATAGCTAGATTATTTTTATACACTAAGGTTGCTTAGTCTGTGTTTTCATACCACTCTGGCTTTTAACTTTAAAGCTTACTTTGAAGTAACTTTTCAAAAAGCATTACTGTTCATTGAATCAAATAGGGGGTCCCATTTTTTTTTTTGTTTTTGTTTCTTTGGTCACAGATGCTGTACAGAGTTCTGTTGACTGAGCTACGTATGGTTATATACGCAGAGCTCGTTGTGAACTCATAGTCCAGTTCTGCAGTGCTTTAGGCTTTTTAAATTAACTAGGTGTGCTTAAGCAAATGCAGAATCTCTTTAGAGTTGGGGTATGCGCCAATGAAAAATAATCACCATATTACTGAAATGTATAAAGTGTTTATTTAATACTTTCTTGTATAAAAGCGTTTAAAAAATTGCTATTCCGTTTTCAAAAGCTAAGCCTAAATTTAGTCTCCAAAATCCATTTAGACTCTTAAAACAGCATTCAAACTACATAACTGCCTTTAACTGCAGCATTTTTTTTTTTTTTGTATCGGCACACTCGTGATTTTCTTAAGAATCTTGAATGAATTCAAAGCCATAACTGGGTATTTGTAAGTACCAGATGTACTTGGTATGAGTTGAAGTACTGATTATTTTGAGAGGCAAGATTCAGAGAAGTACAGGTGTTTGTAAGTAGTTTGGAATGAAAACCGCAGTGAAATAAAGGCTCTTGCAATGTGCAGCACGGTTACGTGATGTATGGAGCATCACAGAAATTCAGTTCAACTTTTTTTTTTTTAATAAAACAAAAGCCACAACAAACAAGATAAGGTCATCCTGAAATAGACTACTGTGGAGACGGAATGAAGATTCCTGAAATAGGCTATTATGTGGTTAAAGGGGCATTAATCAATAGAAGTGTGGAGGCTGTTTAATTTTCAGTAACTGGATGTTACAGGGGTAGATATAGAGGTATGTATATAGATATATAGTCTCTCCAACCTTTTTGCCTATATGCTTTTGCGAATTTTCAGTATTTCAAGAAAGGTATAGAAACTGACAAGGTACTTCTCTCTTGCTGCTCTGAATTTACTGATATTTGTCCAGCATATCAGGATTGCAGTTCGTAGGGATGGTTTCAGTTCTTTTCTGGTGTGTATCTGGGGAGATTTCTTAAATTTAAGAAATAAATTTACCAATGTGACTATTGTTTCTCTATTTCTTTTATAAATTGACAATAAAGCTGTTTTGGAAACTGTAGAGAGAACAGTAACAGGGCATCAACTATCAATATTCAGATAGAAATACTATAAGTAAAAGAATTGTAAACAGAAAGCAAAGAGAATATACCAGGTGAGTCTGAACAGCCAATATAAGTGATATTTTTACCTCTCAAGTGATAGAGGAAGAAAAGAAACAATTCTAATAGTGGGAGAGAGATATTTATTGGAAATGTTGGTACATAGAAAGTTTTTTACTGATACATGTGAATTGATTAAAAAAGCCACTCTCAGTGAAAAGAAAAGGATTTGTTGGTGTTATTGAAATATGTATTTGAATTTATTTGCATGTGTAGATTAATGAGTTTCTAAATTTATTTATTGATATTTTTGTTAGTAATTGAATGCTTGTATTTTTAGGTAAAATTTGGAAATACAACATTTAAGACAGATGTGTATCCCAAATCACTTAATCCTCAGTGGAATTCTGAGTGGTTCAAATTTGAAGTAAGTATTTTTTAAGAGTTTGCCTGTATCTGTTTAGATGCTTTTAATGAAATAATTGAATTTCAGGTGGAAGATTAGTTTTGAGGAGTGAAGTGTGTTTCTGTTTAAATACACGTGAAGACTTTTCAGCAAGCCTATCTACAGTGAGACCTTGTTTGCTAAATGTGTCTCATTGGTTTTTTAGGACTGTTTGTGAAGATAAAAGATTGCCAGATTGGAGCAAACTCAAATGTTATTCTGGGTAATACTAAAAAAGACAAGACAGAGGTGAAAGTGGGGGGAAAAAGGCATTATGGATTAGGCTTTCAGATATCAGTATGGATATGCTTGTATTTTTTTAAAGGGGTAATTTTGAGTAAGGAAAGTTAATTGGTATTTGAAATATTACTTTGGGTTGCAAAAATAATGCACTTGACAAAGAAGAAAATGGAGAATTCCTATGAGAAAATTACAAAATAAAGAGCTTGGACAACAATTATTGGACACTTTCTTTTCCCGTTTCCTTATGTAATAATGAGAGCATGCAGTGTTTTCCTGTAATTGGTTGTTGCTTTCCAGGTCTAATTCATTGATGTCCTTTGACATTATGCCCTGAACGACTGTTCACGTATTCTTTTTTGTTTTGTTTTGTTTTTGTTACTGCATTTTTTTGTAACTTTAAAAGACATGAAATGTAATGGTATTTAGAATAAATTAATTGTTAAAACATTTGAATATATAATATTGGTACATTTATAGTGTTCTAAGATAATATCGCAGTATAAACATGGTTATAAATATATGTACATGTAATTAATGATGTAATAGCTGCTAATGTTAGAAATATTTTAGAGCAAATACAAAATAGTAAGGTTGGGTAGATTATTAATTAATACGGAAAGCTTGAGTAAGAGCATCTCTTAAACATCAATCCATGTTGATTAAGAAAGTAGTACTTTGGTGTACTTTGTGGTGTTGAAATTCAATCAGTTTTAATTTTTTATCTTTCAGTTCCTGGGGTTGTTTTTTGAGGAGGGGAAAGAGCTGATCTGTGTGGAGGATTAGCTCTGTTCATACAGTTTTTTTGACAATAATAGAAGTCTCAAAATTCTATCTGTTTGCGTGGAAGAACACTTAACTGCTTAAGACATCATAAGTGTGTGTGTGGTTTGATCTTTTTGCATGGCTACATGTTATAATTCTGCAAACACTTAAATGAGTCATCCCATTGCATTTAGTAAACCTGATCCTTGGTTTGTGATGTTAAACACAAAAAGTTCTGGCATGCCTATCTTTGTCCTAAAAAATAGTTGAGGTATCTGCAGATGGATTATTGCATTTATTTAAATAGGAAAGTGCATGTCTGACATTACTAAATTTTTACAGCGGGTTGTATAGAATGTCTTGTCTTTTCTTAAGCCACTGACACAAGTTTGGAAGGATGACAGCACCAATAATCATAACTTGAAAACAATTTAATCATAACTTGGAAAAGAGTGTACTAGTCCTCTGAGATGCTTTATGTTAAATTTTAATTCTTTTCAATGAAAAGTATGTATTGTGGAGATGGGTAGACAAACTAGGGAATGTGACATGAAACATACTATGTGGAATTTTGAAATGTGTAATGACTGTAATCTTGCCTTTCTGTTCTTTTCCCAGTGATAACTCTGGTTCCAGAGTCTCACCAGTCTGTGAAGGTTAAAATAAAAGAAGTTGAATGCATTGTTTAGATACAGGAACTTGAAATTACAGATTTATCTGTGTCAGGTCACTGTACATAAATAAGTCTCCTCTTTTTTCCATTTGTTTTTCTGCAGTGTTTTCCTGCATTTTTGTTAAATACTCAGTTTCTATGTTAATATTTGTTTCTAGGTAGATGATGAAGAGCTACAAGATGAGCCTCTCCAGATCACAGTTCTTGATCATGATACCTACAGTGCTAATGATGCCATTGGCAAAGTGTACATAGATATCGATCCTTTGCTCTATAGTGAAGCAGCTACAGTTATTTCAGGATGGTTTCCAATTTATGATACCATTCATGGTAAGATTTGGTAGTTTAGAAGTAAAACAATGTTGTTTGATACGTAATTTTACAATCCTAATTTCTGTGAGATGTCTTCAGAAATTTGTAATAATTTTAGTCTTGGGAGCTGGAAAGCTCCTTTTCTGGCAGTTTTTTTCCTTGTGTCTGGCATGAGAAAATTTCTGGCATAGTAGCTCAGACTAGTGCTTGGCAGAATTCCTTCCATAGAACTTGTGACAAGTGGAAAAAATCTTCACATGATATTTAAAATAGTCACTGCAAAATTGAGATAAAATAAACCAAACCCAACCAAACATACTTTTCCAGTTACCACGTCTTTTCTGAAAGAAATGTACTTTTGCTGAAGTCACTTGGAGTGTGCCTTTCCGGGATGTTGGATAATAAGATGGAGGGACAGGATGTGACATATCTTCAACATAAATTATAGGATGAAATTCCTTTTCCTACAGAAAGTACTCTCAGTGCTAAGTAGATTTCATCAGAATATCTTGCAGGTACAAAAAAATGAAGTAATGGTATGTTTGCCTTTGATTTTAATGGAACACAGCTTTTGTCCCAGAAAGTGAAGGTCAGTTTACATCAGTTAGCTTGCTGCTTGAATACCTTATTGCAGAACATCTGTGGTGGTTATCATTATCACCCTTGTTCATTATCCAGTGTGAATTAAATGACCTAACTATGTTAAAAGCTAATTATAAATCATTGTTGGGAAGTAATTAATGGTATTTACTAGATGATCATCATAACCGGTGCAAAGTATTTTTTACATTTAAAACAGTTATATTGAAGAAGTTTTTTTTGAGAAATACTGCATGTATTTTTCTTGTCCTTTTATTCTGTTCACATTTTCCAAGTCTCTTTTGAAGTTAAATTAGGTGAACGCTTGGGATGTGTACAACTTATATGTCAGAGAGCGTAAGATTTATCATTATTTTCCTAGATCTTTCAGTATTTCACATCTTTCTATTAAAATACATTTTGAATTCTTGTATTTTCATGCATGTATCAGTAGATGCTAATTATCTTGATTTTTCCAAACAGGAATTGATGCTTCCTTAAAAAAAATAATATCATGATTATGAATTTTTATTAGGAATGTTTTTTTTATCTTAACATGATTAGTTGTGAAAATATGTGAACCCGAGGCACTTCCTGTTACAGTAACTGAAGGCTTCTTTCTATTGGCATTTTGGAAGATAGAGCTAAGTGACTTTATTGCAATAAGAATATCAGAGTCAATCTACAAATAGAATGTTTTTGTTTGGGTGTCATATTCTTTTGTGATAAAGGCTTCTGAAGACACCAGAAATCAGACTCATTAAGCAGTTTAGTCCTCACTATGTCAGAACGTATAATGTGTGAAATGATTTTGTTACTGGGTGGGGTAAAAGAAGAAAAAGCTCAGAATAGGAAAGTAGAAAAATCAAGAAGGAATGACTGTGTGTAGAAGTATTTCCATTAGTATGGTTTAATTGTGGCCAAAAATTGAGCTTTATCTAAAAAGTCTGTAATACCTTTTTTTATATATTTCCTCTCATAATCAAAGTATTTTACAAATATTTACTGTTCCACTTTGTGGTTCTAGAAATTTTATTGTTGGATTGAACTTCAGAGAGCAGCTTTACTGCGATTTTGAAACCATTTCGGGGAGAAAATGCAAAAGCTTTTTAGTGTTGGTCAGAGCTTTTTGATGTGGACTGGACTCCGATTTCAAGGCATCTATGCTCAAAGTTAGTATTTCTGACTTCTTGAGCTAAAGATGTCTTGGGACAGCCGTGATCCTTAGGTACTGATTTTATAGCCTTCCTGCATTGATGGTTCAGGGCAAAGGAGCAGGGCGAGCACTCGCACACTGCGGCAGAGGCCAATGCAGTATCAGAAAGCTGATGGCTTCTCTCTTCCCAATCCCATATTTTTTCTAAAGTCTTTTTCAGTGCAGCAAGTATTTGAGGACGGTTGCTTGCATAACTTCAGCCTCAAAGGCTTGGCAGGACTGGAAACTTCCTCTGAGATGATGTCTCTGAGAGGCAAGGAAATGCCTTCCTGCTTCTCTGGCCCAGGCTAGAATTGACACGTGAACTGCCAGTTGAACCGAGCGGTTCTAGGAAGGCCATAGTACATTCTTTGCAGAAAAGCTAACTCATTGGTAATAGAAAGTTCATTAATTATTAATAATAGGGAATAATTAATAGGGCTAGTTTTGTATTCGTTTCTGATACAACTTCTTATTTTTCATATTTTTTATTGATAGGTATACGTGGGGAGATCAATGTGGTGGTGAAAGTAGATCTCTTCAATGATTTAAACAGATTTAGGCAGTCATCCTGTGGAGTCAAGTTTTTTTGCAGTAAGTAGAGGAAAAAAGGTTATTTGATCAGAATGCTTACATAATACTTTCTTCTTTTTTTCCTCCCCTTCCTTTATTTCTTTACCTATTCTGTCAGTTTCCCTTATTTCACCAGCTCATTGCATAAGCCCAGTGGAAATTACATTGAAGCCAGTAGCAAATGCAGAAAATTTAGTTTGCCTATTTTTTTTTTAAATAAGTTTTTACTGTTGATATTTGAAAACAATGTAAATAACTGGTTCCCTGCCCCCCCCCTTAAACTGCATTTCAGTGCATGTTCATATACACATTGTGGTATTTTGGGTACATACCCTGTTACAGGTATGAAGTGAAAAGGTTTCATGATGGTACATGTAACTGGTACACTAGATTGTTATTTTTACTGGGGTTCCAGGGTTTCCCAGAACAAAACTGCTTGGGTATGTCCCCATTTTAACAGAAAATTCTGTGGATTACTTTCTGTAATTGTTCACATCACTTTTCATGTGTAATTTTATGTTTTTCTTGGAATTCTTGGCTCAGACTCATGCCTTACATCTTTTATATATATTTTGTTTTAACAGCTACATCTATTCCTAAGTGTTACAGAGCAGTAATAATTCATGGATTTGTGGAAGAACTTGTAGTTAATGAAGACCCTGAATACCAGTGGATAGATCGAATTCGTACACCAAGGGCATCAAATGAGGCTAGACAAAGACTTATTTCACTCATGTCAGGTATTAAACATGTAGGATGTAATGATTATTGCTGCTTTTAAAAATATTCACCATTTAAATAAGTGATGTGCTTAAGACAAGATTGTACGTGATTTTGGATATATGTTATGTTTATTTTTTCAGTTCACGGTGTTTTTAGCAAGGTCAATGAAACCTCTGGAACTTTCTTGAAGATGTTCTTAACCTGTATGAGGAGTATACAGTTAAAATAACAAACTACTGCACCCTCTTTGAACTACTTTGAATTATGTGAACAAATACACATCATCTCAGATACAGTGTTTATTAATACTTCTTGCTCATTCCATCTTTTGAAAGTTAAGATTGGTTCATTATTTCTCAAACATGCTTCTTTATTGCCTTGCGTCAATTCTGCAGGACATACCAGCAGTTCCTGGAGAGAACAGTGGTTAAAGTTAGTTGATATCTCCACGGTATTGAGTATCTTCATAGATTTTTTTTTTTTTAATATCGATATATTACTAATGCTTACAAACAGCAGTTGTAAACCACAGTCTTCCTGTTTCAGTGCCAGCAGAACAGAACAAAACACCTCAACCCTTGAGTGCTTGTACACTAAGCCAGGAGACAATCAATTGATAGAGGTGGACAATATTGAAGGTGTAAGGAATAGAAAAAAATGATGAAAAATAGCCACTAGAATGATAGGCAGTGGTTTCAGTTTTCTGATGGGCTCTTAATGTTGTCAGATTTCTTGTAGATACAACTGTTTTAAGCAAAATACGAAAAGAAAAAGCAAGTTGAGTTTTGCAAGCATGTATGGAGATCCTTAGTAAGTGGAGCAACATAAAAGAGATCATGGAGATGTTACTCAGTATCTTTATTAGGAGAGCCAGCATGTTTTGAGGAAAAATGTGAAAACACAGTATTATAACTGACGTGGATTTGCTTTTTATGAGGTTTTTAATATAGCTCCCCTGGTATGTCAGTTCACAGGATTAACATTTGCATATCTCTTGCCTTACATAAATAGTGGAAGTGGTTAAAGTAGCACATGTGGAACTATTCTGCTAGATTTTATTAACCACTGCCATGAATAAAAATATTAAGAGGAAAAAACATAGAAGACCTCATAGCAATGCTGTTTCATGTTGTGTGATATAATGCTTCACATTGCAATCATTGTTACTAGTGGCCACACCTAAAGAATCCTGAAAGAATCTGAGAATGGCCTAGGCTTTTTCATACACCTCTGGCATATTATGTGTTGTATATGTAAAAGAGAATTCAGTCTCAACCTTGGCTTGAATGGAATCCATAAGAATCTCTACTCAGGTAGAAACTTTAATACTCTACCTAAATCTTAGAATTTTTTCAAGACCACTAAAGGCATACTTTCATCCTCTGTTAATTTTACAATAGGAACCTGTTCTAGTAATTTTAAAACCAAGCTTCTAGAAATTAATAGTGATCATTTCATTCCACTTGATTTCTTAACATCATTGACTTTGGGATTGTAGTCTATTCGCTGTGACAGTGAGGCTTTTTCAGTTTGCTAACAGATGCTTTTGGAAATCTTTCATTTTCATCAGAAGGGAGATGATATTTCCCACCTACTATTACCAAGGCTATCTAGCTACTTAGATCAATGAACTTTTTTTTAAATTTATTTAAAACATCCTGCTAAGTAAGTATCTATGACAGACCACTGTCTTATATTTATGGTCTTTCAGCCTTTGTGTGCAGCTAATAGAAGCGGCAGTCTCTTGTTTGCAGTGAGAGTGGCATATTTGGTATCATGTTTTCTTTATTTGGTGTTACATTTTGTAGATGAGGCTGCCATATTAAACACAATTAAATTAAAAAGAGCAAGAAGCATTAATTGGGTTGAAATATTGTTGTGATTTGAGCCCAGAGAGCAATTGGGCACCATGTAGCTGCTATTTCACTCCTCCCTCCTATGGGAGGGGAAAGAGAAAATAAAACAAAAGCCTTTGGGATCAAGACAAGGACAGGGAGGCATGACTCGCCAGTTACAGTCACAGGCAAAAGACAGACTTGGCTGGGGAAGAAAAAGAGCATCAATTTAATTTGAACACAACCACCACCAACGCTGGTTTGCCAATCAATCAGAGTAGGACAGTGAGAAGCATTACTACATCTTAAAACCACTTTCCCACTACCCCTCGTTTCTTCCCGGGCTCAGCTTTGCTCCTGATTTCTCTAATTCCTCCCCAGCAGCGGTGCAGGGGACAGGGGATGGGAACTGTGGTCAGTTAATCACCTGTTGTTTCTATCACTCCTTCCTCCTCAGGGGGAGGACTCCTCACACTCCTCCCTTGCTCCAGCGTGGGGTCCGTGTCACGAGGTACAGTCCTCCACAAACTTTCTCCCATATAGGTCCTTCCCATGGGCTGCAGCTCTTCATGAATGGCTCTAGTGTAGGTCTCTCCCTTGTGTTGCAATCCTCCCAGTGATGAATTGCCCCAGTATGGGCTTCTCTCAAGAGTCCTGGCCTTCTTTGGGTGCAGTCACCTGGCCTGGTGTGGGGCCCTCCATGGGCTGCAGGTGGGTGTCTGCTCCACCAGTGCCCTCCATGGGCTGCAGGGGCACAGCCTGCCCTCTCACCACAGGCTGCAAGGGGGGGTCTCTGCTCTGGTGCACCTCTGCTGCTTCCTTCTCTGTTCTTTCACTGACCGCAGTGTTTGCATAGGTGTTCACCCTCTTAAGTATGTTATCACAAAGGTGCAGCCACCACTGCTAACTGGGTCAGGCTTGGCCAGGCGTGTCTGACTTGGGCAGCTTTGAGAACGTTCTCACAGGGGCTGCTACTGTAGGCCCATGCTGCCCGCTACCAAAAAACCCACCACACACACAAACGCAGGACAAATATGCTTAAGTAAGTTTGTAAATAAAAAATTACAGATGCCTATCCAGATGGATTTCAGAGATGTTGCATTTTTCTGAACTGTATGAAGGTGTGTTTAGAAACATGTGTGTTTCAGCACCCATGTTGACCATCACTTTATAAGTAAAAAAAGGAAACACTAATGAAAATAAAAACGAGAGAAAAACTTCTGAAATAGCATGTTGTCTTGGCAATCAGAATAGATTTGGAGAAAAACGGAAAAAAACTGTGGAAATCATAAGTATCGTACTGTGTGATAGGAGGCAGGGACTGTGACCAGCTGCTTGGCATAATTATGTAAGATTGGATCTGTTACCTGTTTTACAGACTTGGTTGGCAATTCCAAAAGCAGAGGCCAGAAACCACAAAGAACAATAAGGAAAGTCCATTGCAATTATGAGCTCTTTTACCTTTTGTTTTGTAGGTGAATTGCAGAGGAAGATTGGCTTGAAGGTCCTTGAAATGAGAGGAAATGCTGTTGTTGGTTATTTGCAGTGTTTTGATTTGGAGGGAGAGTCTGGACTAGTAGTGCGAGCCATAGGAACAGCCTGCACGTTGGATAAAATAAGTAACACATCAGCATTTTTACCTGCATGTAACTCCCCATCCAAAGAAATGAAGGAGTAAGTATGAATTAATAGTTTGTAGGGAAACAAGTTTCATCTCTATTCTTTTCATACTCATTCAGTTTTACATAACCGGTGTGACTTCTTTTTTTCCCCAGAATTTATTTTTCTTTTATAGTTTTATTTGTCTGCAACTCAGTTTATATTGTACAATTTTGAAATGTTTTAGGTTGGATTACTTGCATTATTTCTTTAGAAGCTGGAGTGGTAATCCTTACTTAATACAACATTTTTGAATTTATATAGCAACGGTATTACGTATCCTTGGGTTGTGATCCACCAGTTTCCTAACTGTTAGTTCTGCTTTGACTCTATTGTGCAAACATTTCTGTGAGGGCTTCTTACGATAAACCTTCTGTTCGAGATTTTCCACGTTCAGTACAATCAGGTTTGAGCGTTTATGCTGAGCATATAAGAAAAGATAAATTTTGCATTCAGATAGTTCAGTCAGTGATTTAGAAAGTGACCCAGAAGTAGTCTCATCTTTTCTTGTGTACTTTGCTTTTTGCTGTTGCAAAACAAGTAAGGCTATTGTAAAACAGGTAGAGTTAAACAGTGTACTTGTAGAGAAGACTTTTTAGGATGAGAGGTAGAATTTCTTGATCTTTGTTATATCTACTGCAGTGCCAAACACAGTTTGAATGCAATTTTTAAATGTGCATACAAATTAATAGAAACATACTACTTCAAATTGTTACTACTTTGTTGTTTGGATAAATTAGTTATTTTCTGTTTGGTAGAGCCATCCAATTTCTGGAAAGAAAAAGCACCAAAAAGTATCCTTAAGCTATGTTTCCAGAGGTATTAATTGAATTAGCCATTTTCACTAACTTGAACTATTGAGTCATTACAATAGTAATTAGGCATTTCTGTCATGCAGGCATCAGTATGCTCCGACTTCTCAAAATTACGGGTTTATATTTCAAATCATAGCTTATTTAACTTGTCTTAATTTCTTAATTTTAAAAACATGCCTTCAAAAGAGCTTCTGGATACAATGCAGCATAAAATGACAGTATTGAATAATAAAAAAAAAGTGGACCTGGTAACTACCAACTTAAAAAAACATTCATAAATAAATCAGTAGTTTTTACTCTGGAGCAAAATGTGGAAATTCCACCCCCCAAAAAATTCACGTTCATCTTGGTGGTGGGTATTGTCAGAATCATTGTCCCTCAGTCTAAAAAATGGGAATGTTTCTCAAAGCCATCAAAATCACCTAATACTTTTTTTTCTTGGCTTTACTGACTTGATGCCCTGTTGCCAGAGAATCAATTACGCATTCACAAGCTAGTGCTTAAACTGCTTCTTTCTCTCTCTCTTTTTATTTCATCTGGACTCTTGCATGCTAGGAATTAAAATTCTTAGAATCTGCTTAAAGTAAGAGATCTCCTCTAGCTAAACTTCCCTGAAATCATTTATAACATAACTTTGCAACCTGTTTGTATGTATTGTTTTCTTTTCTTCCACCTTGGCTGCAAATTCTCTCAGGTCTCCGCTGGTTCATCCGCCAAGCCATGGATGCCGCTCGACTCACAACAGCCCAATTCACACTGCTACTGGCTCACGACTTACTCAGAACTTCTCTGTGTCTGTTCCCACTCTCATCTACACTGGTACGAGACTGCTCAGACTCAAGAGCTGGGGAGAGGCAGGCCACAGGCACAGTGGTCGCAAAGTGCAGGCAGGCAGGCAGTGTAGGCAGGTACCACCCATCTTTTCTCCCTCATTTTCTCATGGAGACACCTTCTATTGTCAGTGAAGAACTTCTCTGTGTGCAGCTGCTGAGACAAAGGCAATAGTTTCTTGAAAGTGCATCAGTCTCTTCCACAAAGCCACACTCTTAATTGCTTTTTAATGTGCTTACCTCCTAAGAAATTAAGTGAAAAAAAGTTGATGTATCTGGGGAATATTCATTATTTTACAGTTATTGGAAGAAATCATGTTTTGATTGGAGTTCATAATTGCTTTCAAGCATAATTCAGATATCGTATTTCGGTTTTAAAATGGTTGTAGGAAGGGTATGTGCCATTTGTGGAAGAGATGGTTTTAGAGAGCAGGTAAGTCAATCTGTGCATAAGTGAACTGTTTGTGAATATAGTTGTTCCCATAAAGATTCTCCTCTTTCCTCTGTTTTTAGCTGTGGCATGCTGCTGATGCTATAGGATAAGGAAACATTTTTTTTTTTTTTTCTTTAAAATGCGTATGTGTGTATATACATAAATGTATGAATATGTATAAACACAAATATAATTTGAAATCATTTTTTCTTTATTGAACTAACTCAAAGCATTGTGTATTTGACCAGATTTTTAAGCCATAAAATGTTTTCAGTTTTTTCTTTTGCATATATATAATTTTTTTGTCACATCCCATGCCTTTCATTTGGCTTAATTGTTTCATTGTAGATTATCAGCATCTATCTATAGAATGCTGAATGGGTAAAACAGCATTTCTTTGCCTCTGGCCTCATCCCCAGTCTCGCACCTAAGGAATAACTGCTGGCCCTGCCCCAGTCCCATCCTGGTGTTTGGATCATGCTGCTGTCAGCCAGGTCCTTTGGCACAGGATTACTGAATATGTTTCCACCTTCTTCTGGCAGGATTCCCTTCAATGAAGATCCCAATCCCAATACTCATTCATCAGGACCCTCCACCCCTCTGAAAAACCAAACCTATTCCTTTTCACCTTCCAAGTCCTACAGTCGACAGTCCTCTTCTTCTGACACAGATTTGAGTTTGACACCCAAAACTGGTAAGGCGCTTCCACCCACTTTTTGTTTTAATTTGTGTTTCTCTTTTTATATTTTCATTCAACCCCTTTTTGCTTTTTGGCATTTAAGTTATCAAAATGATGTGGAAATTGGAGACTTCAGATAACACCCTGCAAGCTTGAAAGGGTTTTTGTAGGGTGAAAATTTAAATCCTGCCTATATTTCCACTATTCCGGATAACATCAAAATGACATTTGTAACACAACTGTATTCAAGTAGAAGTAAAACGTCTCGGAGCATTAAGGGAGTCCTAAGTAATTGCCTTTTTCTTATTTCCTCCATTTCATATTACAAATCATGGGAGTACATTTCTCACCACAATATGTTAAAGACAGTGTTACTAAAACAATGTAGTGTTTAAGCCTTATGTGTTGTGCTGTAAGTATATTGTATACATTTCTCTGTGGTTTTTTACTCCTTTTTGCAAATGCGATACCAGAAATATAGCAGCTATTGTCTTTTTATTGTCCTTGGTATGTGGAAATGGCTTTACATACACAGTATACATTTTGAAAGTGAGTTAAATTAGACTCCAGCCATCTTCAAAAAGCATTTTTGTTTCTCCATTGGTCTATCGTAATCTCTTCAACTTGTTTATTCCCTCCTTATTTTTTAATCTGTGGTTAGAATCATGTCAGTAATAATGTCAGCACAACTCAAAGAATTATTGTCTGTTTATTTTCCATTATGTGACCAGTGCCCTGAGTTTTATTACTGTAAGGCAAAATATTTTGCAGAACTGTTTATAAGAGTTTAATTGCTTTTTAAATGGTGTTTTAAATTGTGGTATTTGAAGCTCAGAACATTCTTGTCTCCATCTAATCTAGACAACTTTTAAGCATGTTAAAGTAATTGATTCAGCTTTACTTGATACCAGCCTTTTCAAGAGTTTTCCAAGCAGATAAGTTAAAAGTTGCATTTAAATGCAGTTATATTAAATATTTTACCCAGTTTATTCCCTAGATACCAGTTAAAAAATATTTCCAATTAGGAAGCTGTCTTTCTTAGTACTATCTTCTCTGTCCTGTGTTTAAACAAAGAAAAAAATGGACACTTTTTTTGTCCTTTTTTATAAATAATGACTGTTTTGTGGATAACCTAATGTGGTCACTGATTTAAAGGACCCACAAATATAAATGTGGTTCTCCTATGTAATAAGCATCCAAATTCATGTGTTTGGTTTACCGAATATTTGAAAACCTGTTTCTTTTGATCATATTTTCCATCGTAAGGAGGATATTGTGTAATATAGTCATCTTTATAGATATGAATGTTCTGAATTTATGAAGGTGGCAACTCACGATGAATTTGTGAGGTTTTAAAAGCAGCAATCTTATATCATTCCTGGCATTGTTACGTAGGTGGATGTGCCCTTGTCTTTAGTCAGTTCATTCAGAACAGAAACAGGTTGTGTAATTGGTACCTCTTATTTTCAGGGATTTTTTCAGGTATATAAAGATATCTTTTAGCTATCTTTTTAGTATTAAAGCTAACAGCGAGCATACTTTTGTTTACTAGGACTGTCTTTTTAGCAGTGTTTAACTCTGCTACTGAAACTTGTCTTAAGAGGATTTGCTGGTTGAATTTAAAAATTCTGTATCTTGGTGTGACATACTAGATTTTGAATCTTAATAGCTTAAAAGGACAGTATCTCTTGAGTTGTTCTACCTTTTACCAAAATTGTGATGATGTGCAGAAGATACTTCCGTAACATACTAAATTCAGTATGTTTTTAACAATTCACTGTATATGTTTAGATTTCTGTTTTCATTTCCTAAGATTGTTATGAAGTTGGAATATTTCAGTGTGAAAGTTGGTGATTTTTGTGTTTAAAAAAAAAAAATTAAATTCAAACATCTCATGTGACACATTAAACATTATTAAATATGAGATACCCAGTACTCAGATTGGCTGATGTGAAAAATTAAGTATTTCCTGATGTTTCTGAAGTACAATATATTCTTCTTTATTTCTCAGTCAGGTAGCTAGTGTGTTTACATGTTTCAGATGGAGACTAACCTGGAAAAAGAGTGCAGATACCACAATTTCACAATACAAATAACTAAATAGAGGAGATTGGAACTTGGATATGCTTAAGCATCTAGTTTTCAGTAACTCCAAATCAGGAGAATATTACCTTAATGTCTTTTATAAAATGCAATTGTGATTGTGTTATCCAATCTGGTATAAATATGTAGGAAAATTATTATGTGCTGAGAAAGTTTGTTTTGGTTTGAAATTAGACTTCTGTGAATAGTGATATATTTTATGCCACTGCAAACTAACAGAATATCAGGCTTACAAAAAGCATGACATATTTTAATCATTTTGATGTGACATGGTATATGTTTGGAGGAAATTGAGAAGGTGGGAACTCCTTTTCTTTGTGGGAACTTAGAATTCTACAAGATTCCTCACTCTAAAAATCATAAAACAAATCCATGACTTCTCTGGAAAGTAACTTTTTATACCTAAATAATTAAAGTAATCAGATGAATAGTGTGAGAAGGCTGTGTTATTTAGCCTTTACTCCATAGTGCTTGTTACCAAATTTTATACAAAAAATTTAAAATAAGTGTTAGATTACCATGGCTTTTTTTTTTTTTTAAATCAAAATAATAAGGTCATGATTTTTGAGAACATGCTTCTCATTCACATTGTGGAGCTGTATTGTCATTCCATTTCTTTGTATGTTGAGAAATAATTTAGCAGTAAGTGCTGGTTCATTGGGAGAAAAAAGTGCTTCATTTTGATTTCTTCCGTCTGTTTCTTTAGTCATCTTCTGAATCTACATCTCTTTGTCTCTATTACTTTCCTCCACAGCACCTTCCCCACAGGGACCTAGGATTTTCCTGTTTCCCAGCTCCCCTACACTCTCTTGTGATTCCCCACATCTTAAAAAGTCCTGTCTCCTCCTCTCGGGGTCTAGCCTTAACCCTCTACACTCTAGCCATGTCAGCCCAGTTGTTCTGAGGAAAAGTGTTTCTTTCACTGAAGAGCTGCTTCTGGCTGCTTCTGGTAGGATCAATCTATTATGGCCTTTTAAACAAACTTAAGAAAATGTTGTTGTTACTTGATATGGGGGCTTTTAACACACAGCCTTCTATAATGCTTTGTTTTTGTTCAGTTAGCCTCTGAAAACTGTTGGCTACATGACTATTCATACTATCTCTCACCTCTGCCCTGGAAGCTTGAAACAGCTTCAGAACTTCTTATAGGATCTGAAACACATGTAGTTTATGCTACAGAACTATTCCTTTTCCCTTGCAAAATTTTCTTTGGTAATTGGACTAAAATAACTTTTTAAAAGCCCTCCTCATTCCCTTCACTTTGTTGTTCCTATATTTTGGATGGAACAAGCACTTGTTCATTACTTTATTAATATTTTATTGAAATAATGGCTATCAGATGGCTAGCAACTCTGTTCTTTCAATTATTCTTTTAAACAAAGCCTGTACAAACTTTTTATTTGTACTGCCTCCTTTTTCATTTCACTGACATGCGTTATTTTCATAGATATAAATTAAATAGTTGGTATTACTGATTTTTTCTGTAGAAACTATTTTGATTACTTTGTATATTTTGAGTTTGTTTCATGTCCAGTATTTATGCTATGTTTGTCTGTATTTAATATTGTATAGTCCCTAACAATGATGGTTATAATCAATGCCAAATAGTAAAAGCAATTTAATCTTATTTAATGGGACTATACAGATACCAATATTTTTGTTTCCTTATCCAAGAACAGCTAAAAATATTTGCTAAGAATTCTAGTATTATTATACGCTAGTGATAGCCTTAGTAATTTTTGAAAATGTTAGGAATGAATTAACATACATTATTAAGTCCAGTATTATTTCCAGATTTCCCAGTCTTTGGTTAAAACAAATAACTGTACTTTGATGTATATGTAAAATCTAATTCATGTTTATTATATGCTTGATCAGAAGAAAAGGGAAACTAGCAAAGAATTGTTATGTTAAATTAGTTATAAATTCTGTAAAAGAAGGCCTTGGCTTCATTCATAACTGTTTGCACTGTGGTGTTTGTATTTCATCCTGCTCCTGACACTTTTTTTTGTTCCTTATCCTGTGCTTTCCTATACAATTTAGGTTTTTTTTTTTTTGCTTTGTCAAATTAGCACTGATGGTTTTAGGTAGAAGAAGTACCAATGATAGTATGTTTCTAGGCATGAGATATTACCAAAGAAAATCTGATTCACCAGCATTGTGTTTACTTTAGGAAAAACACAATCTTGGTATGTGTTTATTTCTTACTTTTGTGACGTTTTTTCTTAACATGGAGAAAATACCTTATTGTCATACATATAACCTGCATCTTGACACACTCAGTTAAGAGTACAGTTCCTTGAGAACAGCTAATTCAGTAGCAGAGATATTTGTGTATCTGATAAACTACCCATCTCTTCAGAAAAGCTCCTGTATTGGGGGCAGGGGTAAAATATATGAAAGAAGGAAAGAGAATTACCCATATTATCCAAAATTGGACTTTATTTCTTATTTTTGTTTACAGATAATCTGCAGGTTCTGTGTGTGCAAATACAGTTATCAGATAAGTGTGGCAGTTTTAAATGCTGAGCAGTAGTCAGTAGTTGAATGACTCAGATGAGTGAATATTTCATTGCATTGATATTAAAGAAAAATAATTTGTAGTTAGAGTTTATATTTCAAATCAAAGGCTATGCATTGCCTTTGCAATTTTCTTTTTGGTCCCAGTCATGCATTACATAGGTACTGCTGTAATTATGTGTACAATCTTCTCCCAGTGGTTAAGAAAGGTGATCTAGTTACTCTGAAACTCTCAGCCAGCTTTTTATTACCTTCTTTTTATTTTTTTTTTCTTTTTTAAAAACTGATAATGGTAGTACAGAAAGATACTTGACTATAGAGTAATCTGGCAGAGAGGAGTCTTTAAACAATGTGGAATTAATGGTGACTTTGCAGCCCTTTTTGATAAGGGCTGAAAATCTGATGATGTAGAAACTTTCAGTGGAAAGCAGAAAAGGTAGATCTATATTGAAGTAATAGACAAAACTACCAATAGTAGCACAAAAAAACCCCCACAAAAGTTATGTCAGAGGAAAGAATTGCAAGCCCAGATCTTTAAGTTTTTGTATCTTGAAGTTTTTTTAAAAATCAAGTTGACAACAGAAAAAGACCTTAAATCAGGGGGGAGGTTGTCTAAATGCTAAAAAACCCACTGCTAGTCATGTGAAAACCAAACCCCAAAACACCTTCCCCAAACCCAAATTAGATAGTGATGCTCAGCATTTTTTTTTCTGAAAATTATAATTACAGGCATAATTTGACTGTTTTCCATAACTATTAATATATTTTTGAATCAAAGTTTGATTACAAATTATAATATATGTTTCTTTGAATGTCATTTGTACTGATACTCTTCAGGAATGGGCAGTGGGAGTGCTGGAAAAGAAGGGGGGCCATTTAAAACTCTTTTAAGACAACAGACTCAGTCAGCTCTGGAACAAAGGGTAAGGTATTTTATACTTACATTTCTGATCTACTAAAGTAATAATTTAGCTTGTAGTTAAATGTTTCCTGTTACTTTCTGTTTAAAAATATGTGTAATTTTTAGGTCTGAAAACTTACTGCAAATGTTGAATGTTTAATAGCCCATTTAAACACAAATTATTTAAATTTGAATATATTACTAAAGCATTAGGAGAAGAGGAACAAATAACTGTAATGTGCACAGCACTCAAGTGATTACAGTCGGTATTATAAGAAACAGTTACAGCAAAAATTACTGCTATTCAATCTCTCTAAGTTACTGATGCATGTGTAAGTTTAATACTTCTATCATCAAGTATTTAGGTAAGTTTTTACAGAAGCCAAATTCAGAAACATCGGAATAGCTTTAAGCAAGGTGAAAATCCCATTTGTAATTGTGAAAATTTTCAGTTCTGAAAAATAGAGTTGCTGCATAATTTAGCCTTTGTTCTACTGCATGAAATGGCATGTGTGAAGCCTTTAAAAAATGGTAACTTAAACCTAAACCACTTCCCAAGCAATAAAAGGGATTTGTAGATTTACAGCTTTTTGAAGAATGCATGTAGGACTAAAAATGTCTGTTGTTATGCTGAATAGATATATAATAACATATGTATAATAAAAACCGTGATTTTAATTATTTGTTTAAATTTTGGAATGAGTTTTTGCAACTTTTTTTTTATAGATTATATACTGCTTGTGTCAAAAAGTTATTGATGAGGTGTCTTGAAGGAAGAAATGTGAATTTTATCTGTTCAGAAATAAATTCTAGTTTAATTACAATTTCTACCTAAACTACTTACATAGAACATATACATTTATTGAAAACAAAATTAGCCTCATGTGTGAAATACAAGTGAATGACTACTATTTTGAGTAAGTGGATGATTCTCTTTTCATTTTTTGTGTTACCGTTGCTAAGGGAGGATCACCTCGTAGGTTCTGTAGAATGCGGGTATGTTCCAAAACATTGTGTGACTCTTTTTGTAGCCCTTTTTTCTTCTATTGAGGATTTCTAAACAATTTTTTCAAATATTTTTATTTTCTTTTTTGTGAGACTTCTTTGATTTCTTTGTAATCTTGTTTATGCAGGGGTTTTTAATATTTGTTCTGTTACTTTTAAGAGCATTTATCAGATTGGCATATTTTTGCTTAGTGTTTTGCATGTTGATACGTTTCAGTTAAAATTTTAATTTCTCTTTAAATACAAATCCATGGCTTTTTGCTTTTAACATTTTAGTTTGAAAAAAATGCTTTAAAAAGAGCCTTCTCTCTGTTTACCTTTTGTTTTTGCTAGCATTTCTGACATTTCATGGCTGATCTGTTGTTTCTTTAGGAAGCTTTAAAAAACAATTAAAAATGTAAATTAAGAGCACTTAATGTAATTTTAGAGCTTGAGTTACTTGCACATAATTTTGATAAGGCCTGTGTCTAGTGGAAAAAAAAATACTGTACAGCGGGGATGGGAACATGTTGAGTCTGTTATTGATGATAATGTAGCAAAGCATACAGACTGTTAATTGAACGTATTTTTTGTATCATGCTCTCTTACTGAAAATTCCATACTGGATGTGTTTTTGCTATATTTACCTCTTATGGTTATCTTGAGGTTGACTTACTTAGCTAGAATGATATAGCGTATCTTATAAGTTATTTTGCTTGTTTTAATATTACACACATAAATAAGTGCACTCTAGTTACTTCTCTGGATTAGTTAGGGTAGCACTCATTTGGAAAAATAAAGTATAAATTCAATATGTATATTTCCATATGTATTAGATATATAATAAGTTCTTTTGATGCATAGTTCAATTTATTTGGGTATATAGTAATGCTAAGGCATATTAAAACCACTTCATTTAACTGGATGTCTCCACAGCTTTTTTTTTTTTTTTAATCAAATGTGTTTTTAATCTGTTATTTAAATAACTCTAATTGCAAACCAGAACAGATTTTGTTGGAAGGGTAATAGTACTTGATTTCCTCTGGGAAAATACACCAGCTGTGGAAAACTCACATATGTGTTATGTTATACATGAATACATTTTTAGCAATTCATGGGATGCCTATTGATAGCAAATGTAGCTGTAGCACAGTTGTCTGTGTGTGTATTTTTATCTATAAATGTATATGCTATATCTTCATCAGTGGGGATATTTGAGCTTACTTTACTCAAAAAGAATAGCCTGTGTTTTTGTAGAAATGGACAAATTGCCTGATGGTCTTTTGTATCTCTGTTGACCACAATTTGGACAAATGCTGTTTTATTCCTCCACGTTTGCGTTCTGCAAGTGCTTGAGAGATCTTTACTGCTGCCTTTTCAAAATGGAGATCTGTTGATCTTCATCTCTGAAGAGTGCTGCTGGATAACTGTTGCATTAGAGTTCAGTTCTCTGTGATTCTTTTGGCTGAAATGCTGACTTAGGCAATTTTTCTTTCCAGCTACACGTTACTATCCATCCCATCCCCTCAGTTCACTTGAAGAAAAATTGTAGGATTATTTGGCCACCTTGTGAAAATGGCAGAGAAAATGTGATTAGAATAAAAATAATTAAATCAGGAGAGTAACAGCATTTTCATGTGGACCAGTTCCCGACTCTGGTTCAGCCCAAAAAAAGGTCTGTGAATGTACCTGATCATTACAAGCATTGTCTGAGGGAGTGGTACGATGATGGGAATGAGTGAATAGCTGGAAGGGAATCAGAGACGCTTCAGCTGGCACTAACACCAAATGAGATGTGGGTGTAGCCTTGTTCCATGTGTTTTTTCATTATTTTGTGTGTCTTTCTATGAAATGTGGTTAAAAAAGAATACTAGCAATACATGTATGTGCATAGACAAACTTTTTTTAACTTTGTATTTACAAAGATTTTGTTGTAACTTTATCAAAGTTTCCCCAAATGCCGCCTATAAAATCTCTGTGTAGTTGCAAGGATTATAGCAGTGACAGTTCTTTCAGGGTCTGTGTAGTCAGTGATTGTGAAACGGTGTAGTGAATTGGTATTGGCAAAATGATTGATCATTATCAGTTGTAGCTTGGAAACTTTAAGATCATTGTGTCTTCTCGCACATGGGAATACTCTGTGCTTGCATCATCTTGGTGTAAAGATAATCCTTTGCAAATTGCAGTAATAGAAGAGATTTGCAATATAGAAACACTGCATCTGGTTCTCATGAAATACCTGCTTTCCATGCAATAAGTATAGCTTTATAATTAAAGATTACCACGTGTAATTGAGGCTGGAACTTGTATTTGAGTAATATAATAATAAAAACCCCAAAACCTCTAAATGAGCTTAAAATAGCAAAAATTAAAAAAAAAAAAAAGTTATCATATGAAGTAATGGAATTCCACCTGCATCAGAATGAATGAGACATTGTTAATGGAATGAGAGCATGTCAGAATGGTTTGGTGAGTTGGCTACCCCAGTTTGTGTGGCTGAAATTAACTGTCTCATAACATGGACTTGCAAGTATCGATATATTGATTGAGATAAAAGCATGTTATTACTTTAAAGTTTTATTACTGGTTTGTAGTGTAGGGAATCAGGCAAACTGGAAGTCTCGACATGTTAAAATTACTTGCAGTACACAGCCTTATGAGAATGAACAAAAAATGGAAGTAACTTCTGAATCTCCATATAGATTAAAAAGCATCAGATTTACTTATGCTTTAGAGCATGCAGTATTGTTCACTTTGTTCACTGCATACTGCTTTAGTACAATATAAGCGTGAGTATGTATATGTATGTGTAAATCATAAATGTAGTATAGGCTTAACGGAATTTCATCTAGGTGGCATATGCAGTAGACTTTTTTTTACTGATCTCTATGTTTCTGGGAAAGCTAATCATTTTTAATGTCATTAATGTGGGATAACTATTCAAGGGATAGAACAAATGCGTATGTTACGTATTGAACTATGTTACACAGAATGAGTGTCATGGAATTATACAGGGACAAATATTAACAGTATACATGTGAATCACTGAACAGCTGGTCTTACAGATCCACAGTGAAAGAGGGTTCTAATGAATTGTTGACGTACTGCATTTTTTCCATTTTTCTGCATGAAAGATGTACAGAAAAGGAGTTCAAACGGTGGTGTAGTCAGAGCTTTCTGACTATTCAGCTATACTGCAAAGGGCTTTGCAGGTTGCTAGAAGCTTCTGGGGGAATCTTTTCTGTAGCCCTCTCTAGAGATCCATTGGTACTCTTGAAGACAGATTAGTCAAGCAGGTTTGCAGAGTCCTATAGTGAAATCTTCCTGCTGTTTGATTGTATCATAAGGCACAACTGCTAGTTTTGGTGGGGTTGGTTTTTTTCTTCTGGTTGTTGAAACTATGATTGCTGATTTCAAAGTTTGCCTCCTTAATTTTGAAAGTCTAAACCAAAAGAAAAATCCAGAAAATCAGAAGTTTGTAGGACCATCTAAAAGTCAGAGTTCTAATAACAAGGGTGTTAAGAATTCTCAAGGCTTAATTTTTAAATTTACATTGGGTTCTATTTTAAGAGGACTTTGCATGCCATGTATTGCTGGAAGAACTGTGATCCTCAGTCTGCAGCATGTACACTGCTTAGGTAGAAGCTCAGTTGTACTGTGCTGTTTCAAGTATGTGAGAAAGGAATCTGTACTTTCTCTCATATAAAATTACAGTGTTTCTTTTTTTGCATTTAACCAATCATCATGACTATACAAACCATGATTGCATGATCTTTCTTTTATTTTTCTTTTTTTGCCTCTATGCATTTAGAATTGCTGATCATAAATCTGTTGCCTTTCCCCCATAAGTGTGCTATCACACATATATTAGACATTCCATACAGTGCCTTTGTAGAATATAAAATCTTCTAGTTTTGGGCTCACCCTCTTTGAATATGACTTTTATTTCATCACATGTCATGAAGAAATACTGTTATCACTTACTTTGCCTCTTGTATGAACTACATTTTTGGGTAGTTCCTGAAACTTACTAATTCTTCATTTTAATTATAACTTGGTAAAAACTAATGTATGCAAAGGAATTGGAAGTGAATTTCCTTTGTTCAAGAACTTACAGTTGTATTTCAAAGATTCATGCTTTATTCTTGAAGATAAATATTTAGTTGTTACATTTCGAGCTTATGAGACACTAGCAGAAGCAGTCTCTTAATATTTTTAGGTATGTTTTCCTGTAATAAGACATTCATCATTCTTGTAAGACTACAGTTTGTTTTTACCTTGTGCTTCAGGATCAAACTGCAGTCAGTTGTAACAGTAAGACCTAAAAAATGGAAAAAAATCTTCCTTTATTTTGTATCAGCTAATGAAAGTAGAATTCTGTTGACTAGCTGTGATCCTAAAAGTGGACCATTAGGGGCTTTGTTAACATAAATGTGTGAAGTTTTGATTATTTATTAATATTGTGCTGCGATATGACTCTATGGGGGAAAAGTATTCTGATGTTGTATAATACCTCTGCTTTTATTATACTATGGGTATATGAAGATGTATGGTTATGTAGTGCTTAGTAAGCCTGAAGGACATGTTTGGCCTAATGTAACTGCTTTGCTTGTATTTCAGGGAAATTATCAACTCACTGCATGTTTAATGGCAATCAGCAGTGGTTGGTAAGCAGTCATTTGATTTTTGTTTTTAATCATAACAGGAATTTCCATTTTTTACCTTGACGACCTTTCCACCAGGCTTTCTCGTCCACGTTGGTGGTGTTGTCAGTGCACGGTCTGTGAAGCTCCTGGATCGCATTCACAATCCTGGTATGTTAACACAAGAACAACTTCCTTGCCCAAGGCCAGTCGTAATGATCATGTACTTTTAAGCTCTATAACTTTATAACATATCAGTATTTGAATAGATACAAATCTCTATTCTAACAATGTATTTTAAAAGCAGTATTCTTCAGGCAGTCATTTAAGCTTGAACAATAATAGTCACCCAGAGAGTATGTTTTTAGTGAGAAACTTATCAGCAAGTTAATGAAATAATAACTTTGCACTAAAAACTGTCAATGAATTATTGAGGGTTTAATTGTTTATTATGTTTTAATATTAAAACTTGATGCAAGTTTTCCATCCAAACAAAAATAAGATAAAATACTTGATCTTAACTATGAATGTTTTCTAATTTTCAGCTCCTTGAAATCCTTAAGGACTAATGACTACAATTTAGCTCAATAAATGGTTTTAACCTCTTTTAATAAACTCTTTACAGCTTTGTTTCTGTTTTTAGAAACATATACTGAACAGTACTTAAAGATCTTTATTTAATATTTACCTGGGAACTCCAGGACTGGAACATGTGTAGTTTGCATGTCCTAGTTCTGACATCAAAATTAAGTGACTTTTGACTCTGAAGACTTATATTCACCCAGACAAACCAAGGAATACTCTCTAAAAACTTGGAGTTGACAGCACAATTGAAAATGCAGACAGAGGAGAGTAAAAAATAGCACCTGTAGTGGTTTTGCATGCACTAGTCAGGAGTAATAAAGTTTGTGCAAATGCATCTTTAAAAGCAATTTAAAAAAAAATACATATTTTTTTCCTTTTCTTTCTTCTTCCTGTGGTCCAAGACAAGTAATTCTGAAAGCAGGTAGATTGTTGCTGATCTAAAGATTCAATAAACTGACAACATGAAATAAAATCCAAGATTTACTTTGGATTAAACCCACCCTACTTTAAGGGATTTCTTAAAGCATATCAGTATACAATATTGTTCTTTTATTCTATTTTAAAGATTCATTTATACACTGGAGAGAAGATTAAGAGAAATGTCAAAGTATAATTTTTATGCAAATCTTTCCTTTCTCTGCCACAAAATTGTCTTAGACTTCTGTATTTTCAACAGATCTCTGATACAGGTCACTTATGTGCAAAATTTACCATGTGATAAATTTATCTAAGATTAAATGTTTTGCTCAGAAGTTTTAAAAACTAATTTCTTGCATGATACAATCCTTTATTTTTACCAACTGAATGAAAGCAGGATAAGAAATAAGAGAAGCTAGAGATGCATATTTGCACAACTAAGTAGCTCTTTGCAGTGTTTTGCTGGAACTTGTAGATTGCTCCTGACAAGTGAATGTAAGATGCATGATATTTTGAACTCAGTATATTGCAAAACAATGAAGATAAATGGGGGAATGAAGTCATATGTCTATGGGAGGGAAGGTGAAGAAGTAGAAAAAAATTTCGGATATAGTGATGGTCATACTAAGCATTTGAGTCAAATATGTCTGTAAAATATTAAAGGAAACAAACTGGCAAATGAATATACAGGAAAATGTAGAAGAGGAAAGAACTTTTGAAGGTGGATTGGGAACTTATCGATAAGACAGTAATTGCTATATACTGTACACTTTGATCACGCCTAGTGCAAGATTGCTATAGCATGCTCCTTTCTTCCCTTTCTATTTCAGCCTCTTATTAACTCTGCTGTCTGTGTCTTTCCAGTTCCTGTGGAGTGGTGTTGTCAATTGTGTTCTTGTTGGTAGTTTTTTTTCACTATTCTGCTCCTATAACTGATCTACTAATTTGCTGTTTTGAACTCAGCCTTTGTCGGAATTATGGGTAACACAAGATCATACAAACTGCTAGACTGGAATAGTTTCAATTCAGGTATTTTACTAGTCATTCAGTACTACATACGCTGACAGAAATTATGGCAGCTCAGTGAAGTTCTTAGAAATGCTGTAGGATATTTAGGTTAATGCTTCAAATTTAAATCTGTTTAATGATCAAATGCCTAAATGTCTCGTTTTAATGTTGTTAAAGGCTTTCTTTAAAATTGCAAAATATTGTTTTAGTATAAAATAGTATTGCTAAGAATAATTTAATATCAATCTGGAAAGCTGAATGTTCAGATGATTATTTTGTAGTAGCTTTCAGCTCAGTGTCCATGAAGCAAGTGATTTAGGGAAAGAGAATGGATTCTTGTTTATACAGTTGGGATCATGTCAGGTGTGAATTCATTTTTATTTTTTTAATAAAGTTTTGGGTTTTTTTTATTTTGGTGGTTGGTTTGATTTGGGGGGGTAATGATTAGTTTTGTTTTGATTTGCATGAGCTTGCACTTTCTTCAACAATGACTGCACTTGTGTTAATTTCAGAAAATTAATGAATGTGCTTGTTCTAAATAATAGATATAAAAATTGTCCAAGAGAAAATAGACAAAGAGGACTATCTGTTTAAAGAGGGAAGTCTGGGATTTGTTGGTTCATAAACTGTGTATTGTAAAATGCAATCAGCTTGCAGGATTTACAGCATAATTATTTAAACTTTTTAATCACTATAACACTTAACTTAGAAAAAGCCTCAGTAATCTATTTTTTTATGTAGTTTTAGGGATCAAAGTGTGTAACTTCTTTATACAGCTGCAGAGAGAATGGATGAATTGATGATACAGTGTACACAAAAGCTACATAGAGTACTGGCCTGTTGCGGGGAGAAAGAAAGACTTCTTTTCCTCCTCTTTTCCTCTGGAAATGCAGTATGCTTTGGAAGAAAGGCAGGCAGAACTTCTCTGCATATAATAACCAAGCCAGCAGACCTTGCCAAACTTTGATGTTTTTAAAGCTGTCACAGTAAAAAGGTATAAAGCTGATGTCTGGGGGTTTGTTTCCTGTGGAAACACACTTTCCTCCTTGATACTTCACTGTTCCAGTGCAGCTCTGTGTCGTGCTCTAAACTTCAGTTTAAATTATTGATGCACATTTTTTATTTTACAAATAGTTCAGTAATAGATGGTGCCTAAAGCTATTGGCTCACTGTTGTATCCTTGTTCCTTACTACAATAGGTGTCCTGTAATACCATAATTAGGAGATGTTGTGGTTTTGTTGGTTTTATTTGCTTGTTCTAAAATGATAATACTTTAAAATTAATTTTACTTTCTGTGTGAAAATAATATTATGAAATTATCAGATCTGATACTGGTATAGCATAGTCTGATCCAAGGTGTTAAAAATGTGTTGAAATTTTTCATCTTGTATGCTACCTTGAGAAGTTTCAATTAATTGTTGCTTCTTTGAGATAGTGTTTAGCAGGATGTTGTCACGGAAGAATTTTATTAGAAAAATGGTGTAAATGAGTTATGTACAAACACTAAACATACGTTGAGCCAGGCTAGAAAGTGATCCAGAAATGTAAGCCTAAGAAGCTAAGGAGAACTACAGAGTTCATTTCTTGAACAGAATATTCAAAACACTAACTTGAATTTTTTAGAAATAACAGGAAAATGCATATATATATATATATATATATATATATATATATATATGCATTTTGTAACCAGGGGTGGCTCTTATCCAGAAATTTTGCAGTAGAGAGGTTTAAACCAAACAGTAATTTTAGAGTTAATACCTTGCTGAGAACTGTGTGTATTTATGTTGCCTTGACACATGTGCAACTTGGAAGTATATTTCTTCCTGGAAGTATATTTCTTTTGCAGCTAGATGTGTTGCTAAATGAAGAAGAAAGGAGGAAGAAGGTAGATGAGTTGTTACATGTGGTGTGTGATGGATAGCAGAGTTGCAGGTTACATACAGATTAACTCCATTTTAGACTGGAATAACAAATATGCTGTGCCAGATCTGTTATCATTGAGAAACTGAAAGAGAATATTCCTGTTCATCTCCCCCTTCTAGAGCTTTATTGCCAACTCTGTGATTGTTGGCTAGTACCTGGCCTGAAGGAGAGCAGGGATTTGTACAGCTTAAGGAAAACAATGCTATATCTTTACATGATGTTCATGTTAGCAAGAATGTAATCACAACCAGGCTAAAATTATTTTCCTTTTTGAAAATGTTCAGGTTTCATTTAAGCTTGCTAGTAACCTGTGTAGCATAGAAGGATTGATTGATTTATTTATTTATTTTTTGCCAATGGCAGGGAGGTTTGTTTAATTAAGTGTGTAAGATACAACAGGACCATCTGATCATGGTGAAAAGTCAAAGATTCGAAGATGCTTGAAAATTGAATGTGGAAGTAAAGACTAACTTTATTTGATGAATGGAAAATAAGCTACTTAAACATCTGGAAATTGCATATAATGACAAAATTGTTTAAATGTTTGTAAAATTACAAAAAGGTGATGATAAAGATGAATCTGCAAGACAAAAGTAGAGACACGAGCACAAATTCATAGAAAAGAGGGCACATAATGCAGTGGAAGAAATACTCTGGTGCTGTCTCTGAAAAAGGATGTTAAAGTTGTACTATAAATATAAAAGCATGAAAGGAATCCTGGGTCCCGAAGACTGGATTTTTGTTAAAGTTTCTTCCTGAGGTTAAATACAGAGAAGAAAGGTTCCTTAGGAAGTACAAGGAATTTGTTAACTAGAGACTGCTTTTGCAAACAGCTGTTTCACAGCACTAGCATATACAGTGTTCTTATATAATCACATTTTTAAACTCCTCATTTAGGAAGCTTCTTCATCAATGATTCTTCAGCTCCAGTAGTCAGAAACATAGAAAGAAAAAATTGTTAATAAAATTCCTAAGGGTCTCCTGAGCTCCTTGTGTGATATCCAGACTTGCTGTTGGAGTGTGAAATTCTCCAGAACTCTAGTTTTGTATATGAGGAAATGCAAGAGGAAAGCTTGGGTATGTTTTGGTTCTATAACTGAATGCTTTTCTTTCACAGAAATACAAACATACAGTGAATGTGCAAATTACATTTCATACTGTCTGGAGTGTAAACGTGGCATACTTGTAAGATCACAGTAGAAAGTGTCAAAATGTTTTTGTTAGTGTCTGATGTGGCTATCATTCAGAACTAGTAGAAAACCAACATTTTAAGCTTGACCTTCTTGGAGAATTTCCATGTTGACTTCTTATACATCAGTGTGTGGTGATATGGTAATGGGTGGTAAAGGCAGTTGTCAGAGGCTTTTCTGAACAGTGAGGGGTGGCATGTTTTTCAGTAATATTTTAATGTACTTTTCTGCAACCTTTCCAGAGGATTGAATGAAAACCACCCCTAAATGTTTTTTATGATTAATGTGAATGATGTCTGAATTTTCTTTTCTGAAGCAGATGCACCCTTAAAGTAAGGAAGTCATTTTCTTTGGGACTGTACGTTATTTTTCTTTTGAAGAGTTCTGAGTAGATACTTATGTAACTGAACAAAGGGTGGTCGCTGTCAGTAAGTATAGAGTAGTATTCCTATGTTCTGTTAAGAGATTCATAAATTAATAAACTTGGAATTTAAAATCTTTGTTTTAGAATTGTATAATAGTAAGTAATGTTATTTAATCTGTTCATATTGATTTAAATGTCTCCCTGAAATTTGGCCAATGTTGTGAAAGCCATCTTAGACTTTTCACTGCACAAATGCTCCAATAAAGCTGTTGCTTATTGCACCACTGCAGTTTGGTTTTGAACTGATAGTACCTAAGAGAGGGAACCTCAGTCTTCTGGAAAATTGTTATTCTTGCATGTAACTCTTCCTAATTTCAAAATAAAGGGCTTGACTAAAACTATTATCTTGATACAATTTCCTTCATGGATTGCAGTGAGTTTTTTAGCTTTATGATGTGTCATGCTGTGGTTGCGAAGATATAGTTGTAGAACTTCTTGCCTGGCTCAAAATATGTTATTGTTAGACGAAAACTAGAATGATTCTAGTTGAAAGGACAACTTCCCAACTATGACATAATTACAGGTAAACATGTCCTTGTGAAATGTCTGTGGACAATATTGTAGGACAATGGCATTTAACACAAGTTCTAACTGGCCGCAGCAGGATTATAGAAATAATTCTGATTAAATGTTAATGGATAAGATCATTATCTGAACTGAATCAGGCACAAGAGATTTGCCTTCTGAATGCTAAGACTGAAGTTCCTCAATATGCCATGTTTCTGATAAAGAAATACCATAGTTCTTATGTTTTGTTTTGTTTTTTTTTTTTTTTTCCTTTTTTTTTTTTTTTTAATGGTTTGGTTTGTACTTTGGATTCTGTTAGAGCAATTTGTCTTTGACCTTTTGCACTAATATTTTCAATGGTTTTTGTAAGTTTTGATCTTTTGGTCTCTCTTAATGCAGTCTTACAGAATTCCTGAAGTCTCTTTAAAAGGCACAGTAGGAAAGGTTCTTTGGATCCAGAAATTTAGAAAGGCTTCTCTGACTAGTTTGTCTTAAAACAAAATAAACAGTCATAAGTGTATAGAGTGAATGTAGCGGTTCTAGGAATGTAACAAGTAAAAGCCTGAGGAGTGTAGACAATGAATAGGAAATACAGTGGCAGGTTAATTTCATGCCAAATAATGTCATCCCATTTCTATAGTTGTGCAGTGAGGTAAATGGTGTGTGTGACAGTCAGCCAGAGAGCAGCAGTCTTGTCTGTAAACTTCTGTATTTGTTGAGAGATGAATTTTTTTATGTTTAAAATTCTGTATGTTTCTTTCAAGGACTGCATTAGATACATTAGTAGTATTGTGCTTGTTTTAAGATTCCAGCTAGCATGGCTTGTTTAAATCTTTAAATCATACTTGTAGTTCATTTTGAGATACTAGCTGTAAAATGGATAAAATGTGGTTTAAGATGACCACATGGTGCCTCCAGCTTTGGGTAATATTAGCCCCTTTGTTGCTGTCACTTGAAGATGTCCTTTGCAGAT